TCCATTTCTCCATACCACTTACTGTTTACAGATCTTTGTCACATCTCTCCTCCACCTCTTTTTTCAAGCTGAAAAACTCTACTCTAAAATACAGTCCATTCTTGTCTAAAAGTTCTCTCTCTGATCTGAGTCAGAAAGTGAAAAAGTTGTAGGAGGTTATAAGCTGACTGCGTAGAATGTACAAAGAAGGGATAAACTATGACCCTGAACAAAAACACAAGACCCACAGTGCAAGAAAGTAGTGACAGCTAGAGGCTATATTCAAAATAGTAACAAAAGGAGATTTGCAAAATGGAGTAGGTAAGAAGCCTGTGACTTCCAGCAACAGAATGAAGATTCCCTCTCTACCTGCAAATCTGCAGCTACTGAAAAGGTATGTAGCACTGATGGAACACATTAGAGGAAAATCTATTAATGGAGGCATCAGAGCCAGCTGCATCCAGAACCAACTGCCTGCATAAAGGAGAGACTGGTGATAGTCACCAGGGTCTCCCTCCCACAGAAGGTACCCAACTTGCAACCTCAAGTCATCAGCTGCTTGCTGGGGGCTTGGATCCCCAATGTTGCAAAGAGGCTACCAAGGCTCATCTGGTCCTCTTGATGCTTATCCACATGGGCACCAGCAATACTACCAGAAGCAATTCTAAGCATACCAGGAGTGACAATGGATCTCTGAAAAAAAGGGTGAAGGGCAAAAGGGCCCCAGGTGGCATTATCATCAATCCTCCCAATGAACTGGGACAAAAAAAAAGCTCTAGTAAGAGTGCATGTACGCAGGAGATCACGGCTTGGCTGAATGACAGGTGTTGCAGGCAAGGTTTCACACCACTCATTGTGGTAGTCTCTGATGATCAAGAATTACTGAGCAGGGATTGAATCCATCTGACAAATTCAAAAAGAGTTCTGCAAGCAGGCTTACTAACCTAATGAGGAAGACCTGAAACTAATCATGGTGGGGAATGGTTGTTATAACCTGAAGTTGATGTATGGGAGGCAGTGAGGAAACATCTGGGGAACAGCGTGACAGGGAAGGTGCTTGCTTGCCCTTTGTGAAAACATCATGACTGGGGGTTCATCATCTCAAGTACCTGTAAACAAATGAATGCACCACAAGAGACAAGGAGTTACTATTCCCTGTACAACTGCAAAATTAGGATTTAATATGATTTTTTATGATTTGAATTAGAGAGACCTGGTAGGATAGCAGAAATCACTACAGCATTGCAACAGTCTCTTCAGGAAAGACAGGCTGGAAAGGCTGAGAAGTGGTTATGCTTTATGCAGAGGAATGCCCAGAGCTTTGCCATGTGACAGGTGATGAGCCTGTTGAGTGCTTGTGTGGAAGGAGAAGGCAGCAAAGCAACACAAGCAATATTGTGCTAGGCACTCACTACAGACTACTTGATCAAGGACAGAAAGTCAATAGAGCCATCTCACACAACTGATGTACTTTAAAACCTGATGGGCTGTATGACTGGGCACAATCCAGGTTGTTTCTGGAGTATGATGAAGACAATTTCTTGACACCAGCAACTGATGAGACAACTAAAGAAACTGCTCTATTGTGTTTGTTATTCACTAACAAGAAAGACTTGGTCTGGCACATGAAGGTCAAGTAGGTTTACCTGCAGCAACCTGCAAACTGTCGAATTAAAAATCCTGCAAGAAGTCAGCAGAATGAGTATCATTACAGTCCTTGCCCTCCTAACAGCAGATTTCACCTTATTCAGGACCTACTTGGTAGTATCCCAAAGGGAGCTGTCTGGGAAAGCAAAAGGACCCAGGAGAGTTGGTTGCTCTTCAAGGACAGCTTCCCCAAAGTATGAGAACAGTTCATTTCAACGTGCAGAATGTAGAGCCAGCATGGAAGAAAGCCAGCATGGGTGAACAGGGACCTCCTGACAGAGCTGCAAAGTAAAAAAGAATTACACAAGAGGAGGACGTAAGATGAATACAGGGACACTGTCCAGCTGTGCAGGAATGGGATGAGAAAAGCCAAAGCTCAACTGGAATTGAAGCCAGTAAGGCATGTGAAGGACAAGAAGGGCTTCTGTAACTACAATGGCAGCAAAAGGAAGAATAAGAAAAAACTGTGGAGCCACTGCTCATTGAGGTGGGCAACCTAATGACTGAAGACATGGAAAATGCTGAGATACTCGACTTCTCTGTCTCCATTTTTCACTGGCAAGTTTCCCTCCTAAGTTTCTGAGAGCGGAGGGAGAGACGCTGGCAGAGTCTCCATAAGTGCTATCCCACAGTCAAGGCATGCTTAAGCCAGGTGGTTAGAGAGAAGTCCACAGGAATACATGAGATCTACCCGAGAGTGCTGATGGCGGTAGGCTGCTGGCACTGTGAGGCACCTCTCCACCATCTTCATGGCAACTCAGGGAAGCTCCCGATAACTGGGAAAAGGAAAATGTCACAGTCATCTTCAAGACAGTCAAGGAGGATGATTCACGGGAACTACAGGCTGGTTGGCCTCACCTGACATCTCGGGGAAGTTATGGAAAAAAAATTCCTCATAACAGGCCATTGCCAGGCACACAAAGGGGAGGAAGGTGATGGGGAGTAGTCAGCTTGGATTTAGTAAGGGCAAATTGTGACTGACAGACCTGGTATCTTTTTACAATGAGCTCAAAGAACAGGTATCAGTAGTATATAGTCCAGTTGGTGGCTTAGCCATCTTCCATTACAAAAATCTTAAATGACAACATAGCTATTATATTTACTAATTCTACTTGAGAAAAAGATTCTATTAATGGGCCTATTTGGAGAGTCTTCTAGTACCATTCTTCACATCATTGTTTAGCCATGCTTGTTTTTGTCTGGGCTTTTTTGAAAACCGTACTTTTTAATTAATCAGTTTGTACCTGTGCCTCCAGTATAGCATCTTCAAATGATCTCCATACCATCTCTGCAGATTCAATTCTCACAGACTCTTTCCAAAAGTTAATCTTTATCTTCTAAGACAACCCTACCTGTTTTCTTATACAATTGCTTCCTGCCCCTGCAACCTCTCTGCTATTATCTTTGTTATTCAAAGACTGAAATTGGTGAAATGATTGCAAACTTTTTTTCTATTAATATCATGTTAAATTTAGTGCAAAATGGGTCTCCAAAAGATTTACTTGAAATATTTCACACAGAATCTACTACTCAGAAAAATTTAAATTCCCTTCCTTGCAATTTGATGAGCAAGTTTTATGATGCTTAGAATGCAGAAATTAACAGGTAACTCCTGGTCAAGGATAGAACATATTTCACAGTGGCCAGGTTTCATGAACAATCTCAGTTACAGGCATGCAGCTGTAAAAGTCATGAACTGTTATAGCCAATAAATAAAACAACTAGTCAGAAAAACATGTCCCATCACCAAAACTGAAAATCTGAAAAAAAATACTGCTGGATACAATAATTCTAGACTTCTACAAACTGTAGTCCAATATTTAATATTCACTTCTGTCTTTTTGCTCCAGAGCAAAAACTCTTCTGTGACCATAGTGTGTTTTCTCATTGGGTAAGATGAAAAAGCCAACCTTGATATCCTAATTTCATTCATCTCCAATGAAAGTTCCCTTTAACCGTGGTAAGAACAAGGATCATCCATTTATTTGTGATATACATTTTATAAATTTCAACACAAATACACACAATTTTCTTTCTCCCTGCCACCCCTCACCTTCCAAATAGTTTCTGGATCACTTTCATTGCACAAAAGTGGTATCATTTTTGCAATCTCAGTACAATACCTAACACCTAAATAAGATCCTTAGAAGAAATTATGGAACCTACCTTTTCTCTGTTTAGCTGGCATAAATTTAAAGGTAGATACCAGAAAAGAAAGAACAGTCTGACACATGGCTAAAGAGACGTATTCTTATCTCCCTTTCTCTAGTTGTTTAGAGACTCAAGACTCAGAATGCTATCACACATTAGTGAAAGATACTGTTTCATCATTAGTGAAATGAGAGTTCAGAAACTATCGTTACTAACTTCCCAGAGAAGTAAAGACATCTGAATCTTGTTTAATCTATGTAATTCCTACCCTGTCAAGCATGTTTAAACACATTTGGGTTAGCAAGGTCATAATTTCATAAGAAGCTATACAATGTGGGGGGAAGGGAAGAAAAAAAAAAAAAAAAGAAACCAAGGTAATTTGAAACAACAGCTTTCTTAATTACAGATAAAGAGTAATGTCAACTTATCTGTAAATTATTTATCTGTTTTATTTTCAGAAGTGGAATGGTAAGACAATGAGTGCATATGTCAAAAAAATAAATATGCTTACAAAACTGTTTGACAGTAATACAAAAGAGGACTCCATTCAGTTAAACATAAAAAAATCTGCTAACTACATGAAGAGACTAAAGTACCAGCTTCCTACATTTAATGCTTCTGAATGTTAATCAGTTGGCATAGTCATCAGATAAAAGTTAGATACAAACCACTATGAGTTAAATGAATAAAAGGTATGCAGCATGAAAACCCCACATGACTCATGTTTTTCATTAAAACCTTCTAATACTGTCTTTTGGTGAAAAAATAAATTTGAAACATATGGGACTTGTGGCATGCCTAGATTACCAGCATGTTTTCATTCTTACTATTTATTTGCATGCTAAAGAAAGCTGAAATCCTTTGTTCCCCTCTAGAACAGTAAACAAACACACTTCTCTTCCTGCAAATCTTTCTGTTCCATATCTGGCAATTACTCATCTTTCCTCTTCTTCCACCCACCACTCCACCTCAGTTTGCAAAGAGATTGAGAAAAAAAAAAAAAAAAAAAAAAACAAACAACAAAAAATGGATCTTGAAGATGATAATTTTTTGGTGCTACTTTCTTTTTCTGGGCCTCAAATTCTATCCTTGAAAACTGTAAGACTATGTAACACTGAATTTGTGGGTAAGATTGCCTTTTTGGTTTAGAAACACGTCACAAGTTTGTCATTCTAAGAAATGAACAAAACCCCAGATTTGAATCAAAACTACCAAATTCTTACCTGGAAGACCTGACTTGTTTGGTGGTATCACTTCAGCATGTTCCTCCTTTTCATCACTGGGATCCTCTTCATCAGACAGTACTAAGAAAGCCTCTTTTGGCAGACTTTCATTGCTTTCCTGCTTGGATGGTGAACCCAAACAGTTGCTTATCTTCTCTTCTAAATCTGGGACTGTGTCATCTACTGGAAGCAGAGAACTTTTGGAAAAACAGCTCAGTTCATCCTCAGCAGGGGCTAGTTTTTCCAAAATTGGAATAATTTCATCTGTTTCCATAGAGTCAGTATTGTCCAAGGTACTTTCACTTGGCTCATCTATTGTCTTCTGAACAGTGGTTTCAGAAGGACCTGCAGTGCTGTCTCCTTTGTCCTTTGGTTCATGGTCAGTTTCCACACTGCTAGAGATGGCATCTTCTCCAACAGAGTCTTCAACAGTTACTTCTTCAGTCTTCTTTTCCTCACCAGATGAACTGCAATTATTAGGTAAGTCATTTGTTTCTCTGTTCTCTTCAGAAGTGTCATTAATATCACAGACTGATTCACTTTCAACTTCTGATTGGATGTTACTCTCTCTTTGGTCCAAACGATCTCTTGTATTATTTTCTTCATGGAAGTTATCTTTATTGCTACCAAGTACTCCATTTTCAGCTTCACAAGCTAAAGCAGTATCAGTACATTTATCTTGCTCAGGAGTGACTTTCTCTGGAGGAAGCGTTAGAGGTTTGGGTTCTGTGTCATTGACTATGTTCCCTGCCCTATTTTCAGGGCTTTTGGCTTCACTAACCTCATCAGAAGCTGTTCTTCCTTCTTCAGTATTAATGCACAAGTCCACTAGGCCATTAACTTCCCTCTTGTCCTCCATACAGTCTGTATTGCTTAAAGGGGAATTTAAATCAGAATCTCCATTCTCATGCTTTCCATTTAACAGTTTAACTTCTGTTGTCTTCAATAGCTCCTCTTTAACCTTATAGACAGCTTCAAGTTGTTGTCGATCACTTACTCTCATTGTTTTTCGTGCTTTAAAGACTTTCTTCTGAGGTTCATCTGTGCCATCCATCTTGACCCTTAAAAAAAAGTTCAGAAATAACTGTGAAGGTAAAAATTTATTATCATCATATTACACTGTCCCTAAAAAGGACTGTAGCATTTAGCACATTTTAAAGCAAACTGGTTTGTTTAACTGTATGTATGAAAACAAAGAAACACCTGACGACACACTTAAATTTTGTCTGTTCTCAGAAAAAGTGAATATGAGTTTCTACATACGCTACGCAAACGTGTATGTAAAGATCACTGAGGTCACAATATAGCAATATGTAGTAATATTCTGACTACGTATTTTAGACTAGTCATCTCATAATAGTATTATAGCAAAATCACATAATGAGGTTTGCTAGCTAGAAACAGATATTGTGCCAATGTAAGAAACAGAAACACCGGCCTCTCTTCTCATAGAAAAGTAAGAAATATTCTTGGCCCATCGATTTACATTTATTTTATCTCTATATCTTGTAGTGACAATTTGGAAAAAATAGAAAATCCCATGCTTGGCTAACCCTGAACAATTCCAAAAGCTCCTAATAGGTGACCAGCTAGTGAGAGTCTTCTGTTAATGCAGTACAAGGATACAGGGCCTTTGTATCAAAATGAAGACAGACAAGTAGTCTGATCTCCTGGACTAGAATACTTTCTTTTATAACCACTACCTAGATTTTAAAAGTTCTTATATTACAAAATTCATAATCCTACTTTTCCTATAACAAAAAGATATACTAACAGATTAAGATTCACAGACAACTTAAAATCAAATTCATAAGTGCATCATTTGAGTAATCATAAAATGTAACTTAAAACAAATTAGTATTTTCTGCTCTAGTTTATTTAATCATCTAAGCAGTCTTTCATTCATATTTTTGACATAAAATAAAATACAGTAAATCCAGAGTAAAATTAAGGGCACTTCCTTTTTAAATTTGCCAGCAATAGCAATATTTAAAAAAAATTCAAACCTCAGATTACCTTTATACTGATGCATCCTTACTTTTTTCTTAAAAAAAAAAAAAATACTGAATAAGCATGAATTTCTAATGTATTTCAAAATTATGTTTGCTTTATATCTTAGGATATTATCCAAAATCTAGTTTAAAAACAAAGCTCTAATACAGCTCTACAGTGAACCTGTATGCAAAAAGGCTTCTCATAAAATTCCGTTGTTAGATGGTTGAGTAACTCATGCGTATTTTCAGCTCAATCCCACAATCTTTTGCAACTAAAGAATATCCAATAAAAGCTACCGTGACAAAACCATAAACAGAGATAAGATTAAAAGATGAACAATGAACACTGGTTAACAGTTAAATATCATGTATCACTGCAGACCAGCCTTAAAGCGTTTCCAGCCATACCCACAAGGGAGCACACTGCAGCCAAGTAACAGATCTCATGTGAGAGCTCAGTAAAAGAAGAAACAAATAAATCGGTAACCAGTCCAGACAGGTTTGGTCATACCCGCTGTAAGCCAATCAGCAGCCATCTAATAAATACTGTCTTCCAGTCTTTCAAAGGGGCAAGAAAGTTGCCCTTCAGAGAGTAACTCCGATGCAGGTATCATGAATTCAGTTTTGCACAAATGTAACATTTAAAACCAGTAGTGTTCTAAATGAACGTATGTTGGTAGTCTCCCTTTACATTTAACAATTAACACATTAGCTACACTTCTTATGCACTCCCCTTGCTTGGGTATTTTCACCTTTTACTCATTGTGTGACCAAGTCACAAGAAGGAAACGAGTGGCCCAGGCCCCAAGCCAATGGAGGGACATCTTTTATTTCAAAGAAAAGCATTGGTATAGAACAGCACAAAATGGCTCCTGCATGCAGAGCTAAGTGTGTAAGAGTTAAATGCTGTGAATAAGGTGGCAGGTTTTAGGTTGCTTTGTTTTGATTTTTAAAACACAGTTTTGAAACACCAACATACACAAACATTGTGTATATTTATTGAGATATCATTTATGAAAACTCCCTTTTTCATTTTACGTTTTAAAGTCATATATACTTCAGTATGAGACACACAAACACACTATTAGGCACCTCCCTCCAATATTATTGGAGATTTCTTTCTCATGACCAAATGTGTGCTACATGACAAAACTCAAATGTGCCAGTGCAGCTAGGAATACATGGACTCCTCTCTCAGCCAATTAAAAAGTTTTCCCTCTAGTTCTCTTTTTAAAAAAATCATTATTATGATTATTACTACTACTCTGTAGAGAGATAGCAGCTCTAAAGCAACAAAGGAAGGTATTATCTTATCTACTGTGGATTAACCTATAATCGTGTGCTCATATGAGCAGCCCAAGAGCTGCTGAAAACGTTGACCAATCAGCAAGCAGCTCCCTGAATCCTGCCTGGTAACAGCCAGCAGACAAAGAGAAGGTCATGGAAACATTGGGGGGGGGGGGGGGAAGGGGGGGGGGGCGTGTGTGTGTGTGTGTGTGTGTGTGTGTGTCTAAGCCGGAATCTGAACAACATTGCACAATGGGGTTTGCATAACATCACCGGTCTAGAACAGCACTGGCACAGGGTTCCTGGAGTGCATGCAGTGCTAGCCAAAAGCACCACAACCATAAAACGTTTGCCAAAGCACAAGTACATGGAGGAGTAAATTCTTTGATCATGAAAATCAAGTGCTCAAATATGCAAATCTACTTAAAATGTAGCATAGCCAAACCAAGGAAAGCGAGGCAGCAAATGGTCAGGAGTATTTTGTTCTAGATGGATAGTCCCAGAGAATAAAAATGGTGAATAGAACCTACCTTTTATGTAGTGGTTCATAAAAAGCAGTTTTCAGTTGAAATCCTCTACAGCAATGCTGATATAAATTGTCAGAAATTTAAAAACTTATTTTCAAATAAGAAAAAAATAACCATTTGTGACCTGTTCTTACGGAATATGTGCTGACATAATGCGCCAATTGTTTGTTTTTCTACTACTAATACAAGTCTACTTATCTGACTGAATGCAAGATACACCATCAGCCTACTGAGATCCACATACAACTATGCCTTTATTTTAAAATGTAATAAACAGAGAACGTATCATAAGTGCAAAAAGTATTTCTTCTAGCGCACCACTGATTGAGTTTTCCACCCTTTTAGGCTAAAATTATGTTAGTGTTGGCTGAACAAAGTGAAAGAATGTGCCATTTTCTAAGAAAAAATTACGTCACCATTCTGTCCTATTTCACTTAGCGCACATACAGCAAAACAAGGTCCACTGTAATGGGAAAAAAAAAAAAAAGAAAGTCTTTAGCTTATTTCTCTTCCCCCCGCCCCGTGTTTAATATCCAGTATGGAGGTCCGCGGTTTGAGAAACAAGCGGCATTTTCCCCTGCAGCAGAGCGCTGTAATTTCGCAAGCGCGCCCGAGGGGGAGCCCGCCGCGGCTCCGCGCCCTCGCCCCGCGGGACGCGCCAGCCCGCAGCCCTCGGCACTGCGGGGAACGCACGCGAGCCCCGTACCCGATTGGCTGGAAGGAGCAGCCAATCAGACAGCAGCTCCTTAAATTCTACCCGGCAACAAAGCCCCAGGAGGCCGGCGGCAAGAAGTCGGCCAGGGCAGGAACGCGGACACGAACGCGGGGGGCCCACGCCGCAGGGGAACGGGTTTTGCGTTAAACCAGCAAGATTTTCCAAAGATGTGGTAGATGCCAGAAGAAAACGTTAAGGATTTCAGTGAGACCTAGAGGTGCAAAAGAGCGCTCACCCACAACTGCGCTGCACAGTGGGTGCACAGCCACAATAAACATTCAGTGTTTAATGCGCAGGAGCATTTTCAGGCTCTTTTAAGACTACTGAACTTCTGTGATGCTGAATGTTGAATCAAAAAAACTGCTGAGATCCAATCCTGGTTCGAGTATGGCAGCAGCTGGTAACCCTTCCTTTCTTCAAATACTGTGCAGTGCCCATGCTCTTCTAGTGTCCCAACAGGCATACAAATCATTGTTTTTTCCCAAGTGCAGTATGATTTCTGCCTTGAAAGTAGAGGCCACTCTCCCCCGCCTTTGTGAACTATCTTTTGAAGAACCAGTTCAGTAAAACATTTATGTCCACATGGGTATCTGTGCCTAAGAAAAACACCCAAATGTATTGTTATTGGTAAACCAGAGTACATTCACAGTACAGTTTCAAATGGGTTGTATGGTCTTTCGTACTACATGTGATCAACAACTTCATGTACAAACTTGAGCTATGCTCTTGTCACTTCAGCAGCACAGTGAATTAAGGAGTTGTCCTGTATCTTCTCTACCTCCAGAGGATAATACCACCTTTGACTTTTGCTCATGAACATGTTTATCATACTAAATTAGTAATTTTAGAGTTCTTTTCCCATGAGGCTTCCATGCCTCATGGGAAAAATGGATTCATCATAGGAAAAAAGGACTGTCGGGTCCATTTACACAACTAAGATACTTGATGTGATAGTAGTTTTGCAGAATTTTCATTACATGGCTAATCAGTTTATGCCTTAATAACTACTACACATAAAATGCCTAATTTTAAAGATGGATTAACAGAAAACAAGCAAGAATCTTTCCTGTACATTTAATTAAAATACATATTCCAGTTAGCCTTATACAAGCAACTCAAGCGACTTAGAAACATCTACTCTTTACACATGAAGCTTAAGCTCATTCTCCAAAAAGAAGTTTGTCTTTTTCTGTAAACTAAATTTTAACAGCCATTTAGCTCATTAAACCAGTAAAACTGCTTGAGTGGAACTCAGCCAGAACAACAGTGGTAGGTACTGTGTTCTTTTACTTCCCCAAAGTGTTAGACATTTCAACTTCTATCAACAAAACGTAAGTTTTCAGTTCAGCTGTGAGATTCTCCAACACCAAATACTGGCATTTGAAATATCTGTAACTACAAAATTCAGCTTTCTTACAGGCTGATTTTCTAGCACAAGCTAAAGCACTAAGTATATTTCTTTCTGTAGAAAATGGATTTACTGAAGTTTTATATAAAGTTAAATTTGCGCATTTTAAGATACATTTGTAGACTAATTT